ACCGGAACGGCCGGGCCGAGACGTAAGCCTTTGCTAGAGGGTTCAGGTAGATGGGAGCCGTACCATCTTGGACTTTGTATGCTAGTGTTAGCAATTTGAATTTGATGCGTGCTGCTAGCGGTAGCCAGTGGAGCTCAATGAACAGAGGGGTGACGTGTGCTCTTTCTGGCTGATTGAAGACCAGACGTGCCGCTTCGTTCTGGACCTGTGAGGTCTCACAGTACTGCCTGGAAGACCAGTTAGAAGGGCATTGCAGTAATCAAGGCGGGAGATGACAGTAGATTGCACCAGGAGCTGGGTGGCATGTTGTGTTAGGTATGGTCTGATCTTTCGTATGTTATACAGCGCAAAGCGGCATGAACGTGCAACAGAGGCAACATGATCTTTAAAGGTCAGGTGTTCATCAATCATAACACCCAGATTTCAAACTGCCTTTGAAGGAGCCATAGATAGGAATTCATTTTGGATCAAGATATTGTGCTGTATGGATGGATGGTTTTGCTGGGATGACAAGTAATTCAGTTTTAGAGAGGTTGAGTTGGAGATGGTGGGATTTCATCCATTTTGATATCTCAGAGAGACAGTTTGATATTCGTGCGGAGACAGTGTGGTCGTCCGGTGGAAATGACAGATAGAGCTGGGTGTCGTCTGCATAGCAGTGGTAGGAGAAGCCATGTGATCGAATGATCTCACCCAGTGAGGTGTTGTATATGGCAAAGACAAGAGGTCCTAGTACAGAGCCCTGGGGGACTCCTGTGGCAAGATGGTGCACGGTAGAGGATTGTCCAAGCCAAGATACACTGAATGATCGTCCTGTGAGGTATGATTCAAACCAGGCGTGTGCTTTCTCTGTGATGCCCATGGTAGAGAGTGTGGACAAAAGGAAGCCATGGTTGACAGTGTCAAATGCAGCCGATAAGTCGAGCAGGATAAGCACTGAGGATTTGCCTGTTGCTCTATCTTCTTTTAAGGATTCAGTCACTGCTAACAGAGCAGTTTCAGTGGAGTGGCCCTTTTTGAACCCAGATTGGTAAGGATCAAGCAGACAGTTGTGTGAGAGGTATTCTGTGATCTGCTTGAAAGCCACCCTTTCAATGATTTTGGACAGAAAAGGGAGGAGAGAGATAGGTCGGTAGTTCTCCACATGATTTGGAGGAAGAGATTGTTTCTTTAGCAGCGGTTTAACCTGAGCATGCTTGAGAGAGCTGGGAAATGTACCGGATGTCAGTGATGCGTTGCTCACATGTGTGACTGCTGTGGCTACTGTAGGAGCAATAGCTTGGAGCAGCTTAGTCGGAATGGGATCAAGTGGGCATGTGGTAGGGCGGCTGCATGTGAGAAGCTTGGACACACAGTCCTCAGTGACTGGGGAAAAAGAGGAAAATGAAGGAGTAGGGCCTGAGATGGTTGGGCTTGAAGGAGTTTGTGGTAGTGAATGTTCAGGAGTGGCCAGTTGAGTAAACTGTTTGCTTATAGCTGCCATTTTGTCAGTGAAGAATGAGGCAAAGGTGTCAGCTGATAGATTTTTGGTAGGAGGTGGAGATGGAGGGGCGAGCAGAGTTTTGAATGTTGAAAATAGTTTCTGAGAGTCAGTAGAGCTGAGAATTTTGTCAGTGTAGAACGCTTTCTTTGCATCAGTGATGCTGGAAGAGAATGAGGAAAGTAATTCCTGAAATTTCAATAGATCACCAGGATCTTTTGTTTTTGCGCCATTTCTGTTCCGCAGCTCTAAGATTGGTGCGTAGAGCCCGGAGGGTATCATTTAGCCAAGGGTGCGACTGAGAGGATCTAGCAGGTCTAGTGGCTAAAGGACACAAGTTATTAAGACAAGAGCAGAGTGTGGAGCAGAGTGACTCGGTGGCTTCATTCACTTCATAAGCAGAGAATGTGCTGGGAGATGGAAGAGTGGAGGCAACAAGAGGGGAGAAGTAGTTGGGTGCCAGATTGCGGCGGTTGCGGCGGAATGAGACCATTGGGGAGGAAGCAGTGGACCTCCCTTGTAGAGTCGTACTGAAATGGATGAAGGAATGATCGGAAAGGTGCAGCGGTATGACAGAGATTGTGTCTATGGCACAGTTTCTGGTGAAAATGAGGTCAAGTGCTTTTCCAGCTTTGTGAGTCGGAGGACTTTGTACTAGTTTTAGATCAAATGATGACATTAGTGACAGGAATCCTGATGAGCTTGGATTGTCCAGGTGAATATTCACGTCTCCAAGGACCATTGTGGGACAGTCGTGCTAAGGAATGGAGGAAAGCAGGGTGTCGAGTTTATCAAGAAAGTCTCTGAGTTGACCTGGTTGACGATATATGACAACCAAAAAGAATTTTTTCGGTGCAGTCACCTGGATGGCATGGTATTCAAAGGAGTTGTATTTAGTGATGGGTAGCAACTGACTATATATCCATTTATTGGAAATTAACATGCCCGTTCCACCACCTCAGCCAGATGCACGTGAAGTGTGGGAGACAGTGTGGTTAACTGAGAGAGCAGATGGGGTAGCATTATCACATGGTTTGATCCAGGTCTCAGTGAGAGCCAGTGCATCAAGTGACAGGTGGTTTGCATATGTGGTAATGAAGTCAGCTTTGTTTACAGCTGATTGGCAGTTTCACAGTCCCATAGACAGGTGGATGTCTTCGGGGGGAGTTGATTTTAGTGAGCGGAGGTTTTGAAGGTTGCGAAAGCGTTTTGCTGTGTGTGACCTTCCTCTGGAGCTAGTGATCACAGGTATAGGATAATGGCACATTTTGCTAGGTGTTGATGGAGCAGCGTCTGGGTCGAGTTGTTTGCTCTGTGTACCTGCTCTGTGGACACGCGCAGGTAGACACGTATGTCTTTACCCCGGAGAGTCTTCACACTGGAGGGGCTGAGACACAAGGGCTGACGCTTCCGCTGATAATTGCGGTTCCTTCTGCCCGTCTCGCTACCATGGGGAGCAGAGCTTTCAGCCGCTCTGCTCCCCGTCTCTTGAACTCACTTCCCCCAGACATCAGGAACATTGACAGTTTTACCCTTTTCCAATCAAAACTCAAAACACACATGTTTAAATCTGCCTACAACCTCTGATTTTATTGAACTGTTTCTCTCTTTGTTTTTTCTTGTTTGGGTTTTATTTTTGTTTTATTGTATTTTATTACGTGTTTTCTGTAAAGTGACCTTGGTTGTCCTGAAAGGCGCTTTGAAATAAAATGTATTATTATTATTATAATTCTACTTCTGATGGACCAAAACCATAAAGTTATGAGTTTGCTGCATGCCCCAGAGAGCAGAGACAAACCAGAGGGAGAAACGATCGGCCAAAGCAGAGAGATTGTGGAGAAGCAGCGGGGGAGCAGCAGGTGCGATAACGATGCTGGCTTAAACTCGTGTGCTAACATCATAACATTGTACAGATTACTATCATGTACCAGACAATTAAAATAGCATTGCTCAGTTAATATAATATTAATATGTGACAATAATAAACTAATGAGCGTCTGTCAGCTGTCTCAAACTCATTAATATCCGTTCACATAACATAGTTTAGCGCTTAGAGTGAGGGAGAGAGACGCCTGTCATCCGGTTGTGGAGCTCATGTTGGCTTCTGTGAGCTGGATCCGACTCAGAAACCAGCTTGACTGGCCCGCTGAGCTGCGCGTCTCTTCTGGTGGTCGGTTCTGATCTGGTTCTGATGGTGATCCGAGCTCCAGGAATCCGCATTTAATTTTTTAAACCCCGCCACGGGTCTCTGGAGCCCAGCGCGGACCTCCCTGTCCCGGTACCGACCGATGTGAGCTACAGAAGTCCGTTTATTCAGCTGCACAAAACACTCTCAGGCATGGAGATAGAAGCGTTGTTTCTCTTATCAGGAAATCCGTGGACTTGAAGTCTGGACAGGCTGGAGTTGGTCCAGCCGTCACAAACTATAGTTTTTCAAAATGAACACAATCTAGAACTAGTGAACACACACTCATTAACATGACCTCTCTACCCTAAAACTACCCACTCCTCACACTGAGCTGAGGCAGCGCCTAGCTTCTTTTTCCCTTTGGTTACATCAGAGGTTCAGATTCAGAAAACAGAGCCTTTTTAGAAGCTTTTCTGAGAAAGGCCACTTTTTAATTGAAAAACTCAGCTGTTGTGTATTTTAAAATGAAATATCCACAAAAAGCAGTTCAAATATTTTTTGGACAGAATTTTATATGAATTAGAAAAAAAATGTACCTGCTATTTGCTCTTTAAAGTAAGTGTGGATTTTTACCATCTTGCAGCCTGCAGTTATAATTATGAATGACATATTATAGAAAGTTAAACACCATTATTGACTAAATTCACTTCACACATTACTTTTCACTGTAATATCAAGTTGTTGATAATTGAAAAAGTAGAGATATCTTTAGAACGCACTATTTACTTCTAAAACACCATTAGCATCGTTAGCTCAACGTTAGCCTTTACCTCATCATATTAAAGTAAAGCAAAAAGGTGCTGTGGCTTCTTAAGGGTACAAGAAATAAATTCTGTTTACTGGCTTTGATTCTTTAAAGGGATACTTAGCAACATTTTCATGTTTTACATACATTTCTTGAGCCAGTATGTGCTAAAATGACCCTGTACAGGGTTAATGAAATGCCACCCAGCCCCTATTGCCGCTTGTGGTCAGAATATTCCATTTTCAACTTCAAACTGGCTGGGCCGCTCTGTTGGGACTTATGGAGCTGACATAACTGGCACAACTGGCACTCAGTCTGGTTCCAGCATGTTTCCTACATGTTTTAGATCATGAACACAGCTGATTTGTTCAATTTAGTGAAGAATCACTCCTGTAGACATTAATGAAGACTGGGGAGACATTTCAGACATTAATGGCCGGAATATACCGGACGCGGAAGCGCAACAATATGCCGCGAAGCGCCGTTGAAGAAACGAGCGCTTCTAATCGGCGCCCTTGTTAGCCCATGCTCTCGGTCACATCAGCTGAGAAGTGCTGCAAAGCACTGTGAAGGCACGCACCGTGCAGCAATCATGTCAGCATGAGCTCTATTTTGATCGTGAGCTGTGAGTGAGCAGTGTCAATTCTGACAGGAAGTCATACCAAAGCAGAAGAGGCAGGCTGGTAAATTTTGACAAAATAAAAGAAATATTTCAAAATAAAACCGCGATTGATAAATGTGATCATTTTTGTGTATCTAAACAAAATAAAGAGATAAAAATGAACAAATACACACACACACACACACACACACACACACACACACACACACACACACACACACACACACACACACACACACACACACTGTTTGGAAAACAGTAATAGTGAGCAGAAGCGCTCGTTGAAAATTCTCACCTGACGTGAACAAAGGAGGAGCGGACAGCGCACAAATTTCGTGAGTGATACAATTCACGATGCTTCACAGCTGGTATGTTCCGGGTGTAAGGAGTTAAAAAAATTAATGCACAGCAAGGAGAGTTCTACTTACGTGCACTTGGGGGTGCTAAAAACAAGTCAAAACTGCCTAATTCCGCTTTGAACAACTCTGGAGCTTTTGGCCTACTGGTATTGAATTACAAAACCCGGCGCTGCAGTATTGTCTCAGTCTTTAGATTTAACTGGACCTTGAACAGATTCAGGACACCCTGTATAAGATGCAACAAAGCAGCCAACGGAACAGAGCTCCCTCCATCTCCCTAAACACACACAGTGGTCTTTTCTTTCTTTGCTTAATTTTGAAATATGTTATTGTAGAGTTCTTGTTGCTTGTTTTGACAAAAAGCTCCATCCATCCATCCATCCACTGTCCTAACCTACTTGTCCATGTAGGGTCGCGGGGGGTGTGGTGCCTATCTCCAGCGGTGCCAAAAAGCTCTAGTTTTGTCTTCTCTTTTCAAAAGACATTTTCCTTTGTGATGTGTTATTTAGGCAAATTCCTTTTTCATGATTTGCTTTCAACAATGGTGTCAACATCATTGGTGTCCTGCTCAGTTCTCTTCCTTTGGACCCACTTTGGCTCAAACAGCCTGTGATCTAAAGGTCACCTCTTTGAAAGATACTTTTGGGTTCTTTGTCAGCATTTTTCCTCTTGGTGTTATTTACAGTCCTGTGGATTTTAGCATCCTAAATACTTCAAAATTTAATCACAGATACATCAAGCGGTTGATGATGAATATCTTTCTAATCCCCTGAGACAACTCTGGCCATAGCTGTCTTTGGTCCATGCTCAGTGTGGTACACACCCAGATACCAAACAGCACTGTGATTACTTTTCACAAATAAAGCAGGATGACAGACCAATTACAAAGTTGAAGACAGCTTAACATTTCATACAGAACAGGCCAAAAGTCTGGACAACTTCTCATTCAATGTCTTTATTTTCATGACCATGACCATGACTAAGGGGCCAACAAGTGCTAAACACCTCTGGGAACTCCTTCAAGCCTGTTGGAAAACCATTTCAGGTGACTTCCTCTTGAAGCTCATTAAGATAATGCCAAGAGTGTGTAAATCAGTAATCAGAGCAAAGGGTGGCCGTTTTGGAGAAAATAGAATATAAAATACGTTTTTCAGTTATTTCACCTGTTTTGGTTAAGTACATAACTCCACATGTGTTCATTAGTTTTGATGCCTTCAGTGAGAATCTCCCAATGAAAATAAAGACAACACATTGAATGAGAAGATGTGTCCAAACTTTTGGCTTGTACTATAGCTCAAATAATTGCAGTTGTTTTTTTTTCCTTTTTTGCTATTTTTAATATGATTGTCATTTGTTAATATTTAATTCTTTAATTCAGTACCCAAAGGACTTTGAAAGCAAATGCACCATGTCGACAGTGATGTATGTCACTGGTGATGGTGATAAAATTTTATTTTAATCCGTTTATTATTTTTATTTTAGACAAATTGCTTGTGAAAACATAACATTTGTTACAGTGTGAAAAATAAGATAAGCGACAAAATAAGATGGGGCGACGGTGGCACAGGAGTTAAGTGCTCGCCCCGTAATCGGATGGTTGCAGGTTCGAGCTCCCCTCAGTCTGTCACTGTCGTTGTGTCCTTGGGCAAGACACTTAACCCACGTTGCCTGCTGGTGGTAGTCGGAGGGACTGGTGGCGCCAGTGCTCGGCAACCTCGCCTCTGTCAGTGCGCCCCAGGGCAGCTGTGGCTACATCGTAGCTCATCCCCACCAGCATGTGAAAGTGTGTGTGAATGGGTGAATGACTGTGTTGTAAAGTGCCTTGAGGGGTTCCATGACTCTAGAAGGCGCTATATCAAATACAGGCCATTTATTTCCTAAAATCAATTCTTTTCATCTTCAACGCGTAGTTATCGAGGCATTTCCTGACGACGAGAGAGAACCAGTGTATGTGAAAGAAGGACAGGGGGCCGTTCTGTTGTGTGTCCCTCCAAAGGTCTGGCCTGGTACGTGCAGATTCTCTTGTCTTCATCAGCCTTCAGTAGAACTGACAATGTCTCACATTTACCACAAGATCAGTCCATAGCTTTTTTGACATTTAACGTCTAATATACAAAGAAAAAAATATTCTTATGCCTGTTTAACTTTTTTAATCTCGTTTTCAGAGGAAGTGACTTATCAGTGGATCTACAATGAGTTTCCAGTTTTCCTGCGAACAGACCGTCGTCGGTTTGTCTCTCAGAATACGGGGAACCTGTACATCGCCAAGGTGGAAGCTCAGGATGCAGGAAACTACTCATGCTTTGTTTCTAGTCCCATTTTAGGGAAGAGCGTCTACTCAAAGTTCATCCCTCTCATCCCTTTACCACCTGATGATGGTTAGTCAACTGAAAGCTGGTATAAAAATACTTTGTTTTATTTTCATTGTACTTAAAAGTTTTTTGTCTCAGGTGAGGAGAAAAAATATCCAGCAGACATCAGAGTGAAGTTTCCAGACACTACTGCCATGCTGGCCTCTAATATCACACTGGAGTGCTTTGCTCTTGGAAAGTAAGTTTTCATAAACTCAGTCAAACTTTGACAGAATTTTGAACCCTTCAAAAGAATATTGACCATGAAATCAAGTGAAAATCACAAGATTTGAAGCCCTTTGAGATATGTAGGTAGCGCATTAGAGAAAACCCTAAACTGGGTAATTTTGTTGGTGATCCATGGTAATAATAAGGGGCTCGAATGAAGACAACTGGACTTCATTGGTTTCTTGAAGATGTTTCGCTTCTCATCCGAGGAGCTTTGACAATTCTGACTGGAATATGGGAGAGTCAAGCTTATAAACTGTAGCTGTCGATTGTTGCGTAACAAGCAGAAACTACTTATGAATACCCCTCATTCCTACTCCTGTGAAGTTGTTAGAGTCGTTAACCTCTTTTATGTGGGAATGATTGTTAAGACCTTTAGGGGAAACTAAACAACAATTGCACAACCATATAGCACAACACAGGAGTGCTGTTTCTTCAGGTCAAGACTCTGCAGTCCACTTATACCTGAAGGACAAGGGACACACTTTGAATATGACAAAGTACACATTCTGTACAGAGAAGATAGATGGTTTCAGAGAGGAGTAAAGGAAGCCGTCTATGTCAAACTGGAAAACCCTGCATTAAACAGAGGAGGAGGCCACAGGTTTCCCCTTTCCAGCACAGGCCACAGGTTTCCCCTTTCCAGCACCTATAGTGCAGCTCTGAACCCAAATCCAAAACTGTTTTCAGTCTAGGTCACACCCTCCTGCATCTGATCAAAACAACCATTTTAACACAATAAAGCCTAATGACTCCCAACAACTCTTCAGGGGGTAGGGAGGAATGGTATTCATAGGTAGTTTCAGCTTGTTAAGCAACAATAGACGGCTACAATTTTTAAGCTTCCAGTCAGAATTGACAAAAATGAGAAGCGGAATGTCTTCAAGAAACCAAAGAAGTCCAGTCGCCTTCATTTGAACCCCTTTAGATTGTTGAAGGGATAGTTTAAAATATACCTTTCTACTTAAAAAATGCTTTTGCAGAAGACACACTAAAACAATAGGTAGCTATGTTTAATTTGCCTTTTGTTGGTTATGCATCCTGTTGGTATTGTGTTAAAAACAATCAGATATTTGCATATTTAAACGTATCAGTGAAGCCAATATATTTTTGGTACATTGGTAAACTTGGTACATGAATGCACTTGCTTTCAAGATTTTTGATCGTATCAACTACTGTACCTTTCTGTATATTCAGTCCCATCCCTCATATCGTATGGAGGAAAGTGGATGCCACTGACCTTCCTGCAAATCATGAAATCAGCGAATCAGGTGCGGTGCTTCATCTGTACAATGTTCAGTACGAAGACGTCGGAGGATATGATTGCGAAGCCATCAACACTAAAGGAAAGGACTGGCACAAGGGCTGGCTTTATGTGGAATGTACGTGAAACTGTGTTTGAAAGTGTCTTTTGGAAGATGCACACAGTAATGTGTTTGCTTGTACATTTTAGCTGCTCCTGAATGGGCGGAGACCATCAACAACACCCAGGTAGACATTGGTTCGGAACACACGATGCGCTGTGTGGCTTCGGGAAAACCCTTCCCTTTCATCCGCTGGTACAAAAATGGATACATGGTAGTCTTTTTTTTCCCTTTTGTTGTAAAAAATTACACAATTTTAGGTGTCGGCTCTAAAATGTATGTTTTTCAGTTTGGGAAAAACGAGTTGAAGTTTTCCAGCCTGACGTTTGATGACTCAGGGATGTACCAGTGTATCGCTGAGAACTATTGGGGCATCAAATATGCCAATGCTGAGCTGCGAGTCATTGGTGAGTACTTGCAAAAGCAAATACATTGCAGAGCATACACTAAGTTATCATTTGAATCTCCCACTAGCCTGTGCGCCAACATTTGAGCTCAACCCCGTGAAGAAGCAGCTTCTTGGTGCCAAAGATGCTCGAGTGTTGATTGAGTGCAAACCTAGAGCGGCTCCAAAACCTCGATTCACCTGGATGAAGGGCAAAGAGTTGCTTTACAACAGTTCACGGTCAGCATGATTAAATTTCACATGAAACAAGAAACATCTATCAGGATTAAGTGCCACCAAGTTCTTTGTGTAATTTGGTTTACTTTTAGCATTTCTGTCATGTTGGACGGGACTTTGGAGATCCTCAATGCCACCAAAAATGACGAGGGATTTTACACCTGCTATGCTGAGAATGACAGAGGAAAATCTAACAGCTCGGGCTATCTAACCATCACAGGTAAGTTTCTGCATGCATGTTTCTGCACTTTGGCCAAATCAAGAGTTTGTTTGCAAGATTCACAAAATTATTTCCACAAGACAGAAGGAGTGCAAGTTCAATTGTTGTATTATACTGATTATGTTCTGAATTTTTAAATTTAATTTCATCAGAGCCTACCAGCATCACAGTAGCACCTGAAGACTCTGAGGTTCAGGTCGGAGATGAGGTGATTCTCAGGTGCACTGCTTCATATGACCCTATGCTAGACATCACATTCATTTGGGCCATAGACTTTCGGGTCATTGACTTCAACACTGAGTGGCAACACTATGAGCGAGTTATGGTACAGTGACATTTTCAAAGGTTTAGTCAAAGGTTCTGTTTCTTCTAGGCATGCCTCATTTATGTTGTGTTTCTCATTGGTCAGAGTGAAGATGGAGTTGGTGACTTGAAAATAATCAATGCCCAGATCTGGCATGAAGGTCGCTACACTTGCACAGCTCAAACCGTTGTGGATGATGACACCGCTTATGCTGACCTCAAAATTGTTGGTCTGTTCACATGCTTTCAACTACATGTTAACTAAGCATAACTGTTGTTTTTGTGTTCGACGTGGCCGACAAGATCTGTTGACATTCTGTATTAAGCTATAGTACCAGTTTGGATACATGTGTCCGTGAATCTTCAGGTGTTCCTGGGCCTCCTGGTGTAATCCGAGTCGAAGCGATTGGGGACACAACAGTGAATCTGTTGTGGACAAAGGGAGCTGAACACAACAGCCCCATCCTCTACTACACCATTCAAACCAGGCACTTCTGGGCATTGTATGAAGATGACTGGAGGAATGCCAGCACTAGTAAGTACTGATTTTCTGCCAGCATGAGGCATCTCTTCCTCTGTTGACTTCTGATTCTTTGATGCTTCGAAATTTTCAGATTTTGTGGGGTATCAGCAGGTTTTGAGGGCTTTCTTCATTCTTGATGAGGATGTTCTCGGTCCTGTGGTGTGATGTTCTGATGAATTGTGCTCCTGTCAGTGATTAGAGTAAAAGAAATACTGACCTGTGTGTGTACACTTGCTTGTGTATGTAAGGTTTCTCTATAGGAGTGTTCAATAGTGAGTGTGAAGGGCCACAGATCTTCCCCCAAAGGCCCGCAGAGAATGGATTAGTTCCAAGCCCCAGAGATCCAGACGTCTCCCAGGAATAATTTTCTTCCTAACACACCAACCTTGAAAGTTTGGGCAGCTTTACACAGCTTGTGCACACACTGACAGAAACTTCACAGAGAGACAACTCCTTTGAACTCAGGACAACTTTGATGAGTGTAGACTCACAATTACAAACAGAACATTGAATGAAAATCCACTGTTAGGAGTAGGGGTGGTTTTGTCTTTAAACTAACACACAAACACACACACACACACCTGGCATGTGCACCTTCACAGGCCAGGAGTTCTCCACCCATAAAGCCACTAGTTGTGTTATCAGCATTTAGCTGTGAATAATCAATAGTTCTCTGGGAGCGTCTCCATCTAATTTCTCCTAGGCTCCAGAGAGAGACCCCCACTATCCTAGCTAACAGTGGACAAAACATGTTAAAACTGCTACACATGACATCTAACCGCTTTCCTGATACACACTGTGGACATCATATTCAAAGGCTTCCTGGATAAGAAGCGAAACATCTTCACCAAAACAGAATTCCAATTACCTTCTAATCCAAAAAAAGAACATTTTTGAATGTGAAGGCTTTTTTCTTTATACTTATAGGTAGATCTTACATTTTATTAGCTTTTTTGTTGGACGTTTGTGTCTTTCAGATCCAGCTGTCATTGATGGAACCAGGGAGCGAGCAGAAGTAACAGATTTATACCCTTGGATGGAGTATCAGTTCAGGATCATTGCCACTAATGAATATGGCTCCGGAGAGGCTAGTATACCTTCACTCAAGATCAAGACCTGGGATGCCCGTAAGGACACTGGAAAACAAGATTGTTTCATGTGGTTTATATGAAAAGGAGATAACACATTGTATTCACTTTAGCTCCAGTGGTTTCTCCCACTGGTGTGGCGGGATACGGAGGGAGAAATGGTGAAATCGTCATCACGTGGAATGTAAGTGCCTTCACAGTATGTCTCATTCTTAAGGGAAATTTATGTCACTCAGCCTGTATTTTTTTTTTACACAAACCTGTTTCCACATCCGACCCTCAGCCTGTCCAGCCCTGGTACTTCTATGGCAAGAAATTTGGCTACATCGTTGCGTTCAAGCCTCACAATGCTTATGACTGGTGGTACGAGACTATCTCAGACCCCGAGACCAGGCGACACGTTCACAGAGATACCTACTTTGTTCCAACTGACGAGGACTTCCAGGTACGAGAGTTTCAGGTGAAGATCAAGTCATTTAATGTGAAAGGAGATGGACCCTACAGCCTCACTAAGGTCATCTATTACCCAAGAGATGGTGAGAGGATTTTCATTGTTCCATCAGTTTGAAATCAAAGTCATCCTTCAAATAATTTACCATTTAATAGTTCAGGCACACCCTTGATCAACCCTGCTTTTGTACTCTCTATATCAACCAGTACCCACAGAGCCTCCAACAGATGTCTACGCCAGGCCGGTGTCCTCCACTGAAGCTGTGGTTTGGTGGCTTCCAGTGGTAGACACTGGAACAGGTCTACAGCAGTACATTGAGGGTTACCAGGTACAAATATGTGGTTCCATTTTAAATGGGATTATTTTATTAGGCACTTATTATCTCCGAATTAATTATATTATTACAAAAAAGTGTTAATACCTTTGATAAAAAAGAATACATTTATGATAATGAGGAAATTTAATACTAGGAATCCAGTAAAAACTTTCCCCATCTCATCAGAAAGCATATTAATGGGTCAGTGTCATTTTTTTTGGACACATACCATTTTAGTTCTAAAGCAACGCAAGAAAAATAACTTGTACAAGAGAAATTGAACTACTTAGCTGCAACAAACAAGCTAGTTTAAAACAAACATGGTCTCAGAACTCTCACCCCTCCCGTCAGCTATCATCCCCCACAGAGTTTAAAGCCGGCATCGACTGGTGCAGAAGAATGATGCGCCAAACTGCTCTTGCATTACGGCGCAGAACCAGCCTTGCCCAGCACTTGCTATCAGACTTTGAAGGGAACCTGTAGTCTTTTCAGAGCTACAATATGTAAATGGCTTGAGAAAAAAAACACTCATACGCCCTTGATCAGATCGGTAACGCTGGCCAGACCCTGTGTTTTTTGACATGCCATCATCTGTGACTGTGTACAAAAAAGGTGAAAAGTCGGTTGTTGTGAAGTCAACTGGAAATGAAAAAAATTCGGGTCACCATCATGGTGGCGTGCCTGGCAGACGGGACAAAGTTGCCCCCATATGTGATTTTAAAGTGCAAAACTGTGCCAAAAGAGCCAGTGACAGCTGGCATTGTTGTAAGAGCGCAGGAAAAGGGCTGGATGGAGAGTGAACTTGTGGTAGACTGACTGAAAGTGGTGTGGGGAACACGGAGCGGCGCTCTCAGAAAAAAAGAGAAACATGCTCGTGGAGACCTGACTGATGCTGTCAGGATAGTCTGCGCAGGAGGTCACCAAGTGGCTCCTGTATGGTGATCATACACTCACACCATCTGGAAAAATAAAAAATAAACGGCTGTACATCAGCTTTATGAATTGATCCATCAGGCATGGGGTGAAAATAAAACCAGAGAGCATCATCACTGGCTACAAAAAGTGCTGCATATCTAATGCATTGGATGGCAGTGAGGATGACGTTCTGTGGGAGGAGCCGGAACCGCAGCAGTATGAGAGTGACAGTGAGCACAGCGAGGCAGTCTGTGAATAAAAGCCTAATTTTACTTTTGATTTAACGTGTGAGCAAAGTTCTGATAGTCATCAAATAATAAATAAAAGGGAGGGTTGTCCTATATTCGGGTCAATATGGTAGTTTTAAAATATTTTTTCTTTTTTATCTCCATAATATATTTATCGCTATACTATGTTAGAAAATTGAGAGGCATGAAAAATATGTCAGCAGCCGCATGTCTTGGACAATCGAGTGAAGAGAGTGGTGGAGCTGTCAACTGGCAACTACCTGGTGGTGAGTTGGCTCCGATGGTGGGGGAAGATATCGGTCAAATCTGGCAGGCCTAAACGTATTGTGAGGGTCTGCTGAAAATGTCTGGCAGAGTCTCCTGCTAGAAGGATCTTCAATTCCCACCTCTGACATAACTACCAAACTGTGGCAGGTAGGGGACACTGAGTCCAAGTGGGCCCCGTTTGTCCATTTTTGTAGTGAACGATCAGAACTGTGGCCGCAGGGTCATTGGTGCCTGTCGTGGCGGCAATCCCCAAACCCGCTGGTGGACACTGATGGTTATGGATGCCGTCAAGCTGAAGAAAGAGTCCTATCAGGTCTTTTTGGCCTGTGGGACTCCAGAGGCAGCTGGTGGGTACCAGCAGGCCAAGGTGAATATGGCTCGGGTGGTCGCAGAGGCAAAAACCGGGGCGTGGGAAGAGTTCCGTGAGACCATGGGGCAATACTTCTGTGCGGCTTCAAGGAGATTCTGGTCCACCATCTGGTGCCTTAGGAGGGGAAAGCAGTGTGCTACCAACACTGTTTATAGTGAGGCAGATGAGCTGCTGACGTGTACTCAGGATGATGTTGATTGATGAAGTCTGGGCCTCCCATAAATCTACCATTAATCCTGTTCTTGTGTTTTGCTCACCAGGTCAAATACTGGAGAAAGTACGATGACCCGGAGCCAGGAGCCAATCGGATTTTTGTCTCAGCCGAAGTTAACCAGACCAGGCTGGAGAACATGCTGCCGGACTCACACTACCTCATCGAGGTCCGTGCCTTCAACGGAGCAGGACTTGGACCACCCGGTGAACACTGTGAGATGTTCACAAAAAGACCACGTAAGACCAGTAATGCTGACTAAGAGATGTGCAATAACAATTACATATATATTGATAAATGACCCCTCCACAGCACCCTCAGAGCCTCCCAGGATGTGGCGCTACATCAGCTGGACTGGAAAATGGTTGTACGTGTGGTGGGATCACATTCCATATGACTGGTTTGGAAATGTATCCTTCCCACTGTACTACAAGGTTGGTAAAAGTACTAAAAGGAACATTTTCAGGTCTGTATGGCAAAGTATTTTAAATGATCCATGTTTGATGTTTGCAAGGTCATGTTTAGAAAGACGGGCTACATCTACGGGAAGGTCTACATCACTGGCTGGCACTTCATGGACTTTCCCATGCCTCAGCTCGGGGATTTTGAGCTGATGGTGCGTGGCCGTTATGAAGGTGGAGACGGCCCCGTACGGAAGATTAGGATTCAGGGTAAGACCTCAAAAAGTTACTGACTGATCAAATATTATCAGTTTCAAAAATGTTTCCTCCTCCTTGTTTTCAGGTAAAGCATCTATGACCACGCCCACTTTAAGCCTTTTGTTATCGATGCTGCTGGTGCTGCGCATTATGGGATTTTAAGTTCAAGCCTGCTCAAAGTATCGTGTAAATAATGGGACACAAGCACATGGACCCAATAGAAGGACTTGCTCTGATGTTACACTAAAAAAAGATTAGTCATCAACAGTTTAGCACTTTTATGGACAATTTGATGTCCGCACACCTAGATCAGCAGGATGCATTCATAAATCTAGAAGGAACAATCCAAAATTTGTAAAAATATCCGCTTTAGACTTCGTGGCAAGTCAAAGAAAATCATGATAATATAAACACTGTATATTAAACACTGATCGTATTAAATGTGTAAAAAAGTTACTAAGCTGCACTTTTCCCTTTTCACCTTTATTTTTTATTTTTTTTTATTTAATGTTATGAAGTTTCCAGGAAACACACATTTCTCTCACATGATTAAAAACAGTTTAATCTACAAAAAAAATGCAATGTTGAAGGGATTTTTGTCCTTTTTATTTTGTTTTTGAAGAGAAACTTGTTTACATCACAAAGTCCTAATTGTGCTTTTTATCAAGATTTTTGACAGTCATTTTGTAAAGGTTGCTGTATTTTTGCTTAACTTACATTTTAATCACAACCCAGAATCCTGATGCCAAAGCGAGTCTCTTTAACAGTAAAAGCCATAGATTGCTGTCACATTTTCCCTTTTAATTTTACACTCAAAACAACACTTTACTTAAAATTTGAGGCCTGAAATGGACAAAATAAAACCAACATGTAAGTATTTGTGCTAATTTTATTTATATCAAGCTATTAAACTAAAGAAAATTGAAAAATGTGTGCACTCATGGTGTTTTTTAAAATATATTTGACTCCAGAAAAGATGATGGCTGATTCACCTAAATGAGGCAGAACACCTAGTACTAATTCTCAGTAGTAATTAGTTTCTGGTTCGGCTTCGGCGCCTAGTGGGCTCTTCACTGGACCCGCTTCAGTTTGCCTATCAAACTGGCATTGGTGCTGATGATGCGATCATCCACCTCCTGCATCGCTCGCTCGCTCACCTGGAGACTGTTGGGAGTACTGTGAGGATCATGTTTTTTGACTTCTCCAGTGCCTTCAATACCATTCTTCCCTCGGTTCTGAAGGACAAACTGGTGAACGCTGGAGTGGATCATCACTTCGCTACCTGGATTCTGGATTACCTTTCTGACCGACCACAGTATGTGAGGACTCAGGGCTGTGTGTCGGATAGTGTCGTCTGCAGCACGGGGGCCCCCCAGGGAACGGTTCTGGCTCCGTTCCTTTTTACCATCTATACTGCGGACTTCTCCTATAACTCTACTCAGTGCTTCTTGCAGAAGTTCTCTGATGACTCTGCGATTGTAGGTCTCATCAAGGATGGGGATGACAAGGAGTACAGGAGACTGACTCAGGATTTTGTGGACTGGTGCCAGTTGAACTATCTACAGATTAATGCCAGCAACACTATGGAGCTGGTGGTAGACTATTGTAGGCATAAGCATTCCTCGCTTCAACCATTGAGCATACAGGGCATGGACATTGAGACTGTGGACAGTTACAGGTATCTCGGGGTCCGTTTGAACAATAAACTGGACTGGACTCATAATTCAGATGCCCTGTACAGAAAAGGGCAGAGTAGGCTGTACCTACTACGGAGACTGAGGTCATTTGGAGTTGTGGGCCCTCTCCTGAAGACCTTTTATGACTCTGTGGTGGCCTCAGCCATCTTTTATGGTGTGGTCTGCTGGGGCAGCAGCATCTCTGCGGGGGGTAGTAAGAGGCTGAACAGACTGATCCGCAGGGCCAGTTCTGTTCTAGGATGCCCCCTGGACCCTGTGGAGGTGGTGAGTGACAGGAGAATGACAGCTAAACTGTCATCCCTGTTGGATAATATCTCCCATCCCATGTAGGTGACTGACAGCTATGACCAGCTCCTTAAGTGGGAGACTGCAACACCCAAGGTGTGGGACAGAGAGATTCCGGAGGTCTTTCCTCCCCACTGCTGTCAGACTCGACAACAAAACTGCTAGATGAAGCGTCATCTGTATTTCTAAGCTGTATATAGTATGGTTATTTTTTACTCAATTTTTAAGGTATAAATTATCTATTGTATTGAGTTTATTTTATCTCATTACGATCAAACTTGTATTTTAGTGTTTTCTCCCTCTGCTGCATAACTTTTACTTTACTTTTACTTTGGCTGTAAACGAAACAAATTTCCCACTTGTGGGACTAATAAAGGTTATCTTATCTTAACTGAATACAGCCTGGCAATGTGAAGTTGATGCCAGTCCACACTCCACGTCGGTAGGTGGCAGACCTGCCAACCTGTACGCATTTTGCGCAGCCAGTACACAATTTGGCATCTATTTACGCTGGTACGGCTCCCCCGTCTAAACTAAGATCTGTATATAAATACATTTTACATGTGTTTATATACATATCTATGGTGTCAGTCACAAATGCTTCAGCCTTTTAAAGCTTTTTCTGCATGATGTGCTCTGCAGGGAGCACTTCTCCATTTCCCTCAGAAACAATCTCACAGCTTTGATGTTTAGTGTCAGTGTTTAGCAGCATTTTTTGCTCTGTCTCATCATGGACCATCGGAACCTTGGGAAATCTCCTGTGAAGAAGAAGAAGAAAATATCATTCCATAGCGCCTCTCAAGATAAAATCACGAGGCGCTTCACAAAAACAAAAAATGTAAAAATATTAAAACAAAAATAGAAAATAGTTAAAAATATGTTTAAAATGAGCAAAAATAGACAATTGTGATTGAAAAAATGTTAAGGAAGAGAGAGTGAACAGGAAAGAGGGAAATCAGTGGATCCTGAGGAAGGTGGAATAGTGGGGAGAACAGAATAAAGAGAGAGTGGTGAAGAAGGTCATACAAAAGCCACTTTGAACAAGTGAGTTTTCAGCTGCTTTTTAAAGGAGACCACTGAGTCCACTGATCTCAGGCTCAGGGGGAGAGAGTTCCAGAGTCTGGGGGCCACAGCAGCAAATGATCTGTCTCCTTTGGTCTTTAGCCTGGTGCTGCACAACCAGTAGGCTTTGATCACTGGACCTCAGGGACCTGCTGGGGGTGTAGGGACTAAGAAGATCACCAATGTAAGATGGTGCTTGTCCATGTAAGGCCCTATAGACCAGAACCAGGATCTTGAAATGAACCCTGAAGTTGACTGGCATTCAATGAAGCTGGAGGAGAAGCGGGGTGATGGGGGTGTGTTTGGAGGACTTAGTTAGAAACTGAGCACAGGCATTCTGAACCACCTGTAGATGGTTCAGGGAGGTTCTGCTCAGACACGTGAAAAGAGAGTTACAGTAGTCTAAGCGTGAGGAGATGAAGGTGTGGAGAACTGTCTCAAGTTCAGAGGAGGACAGAATGGGACTCAGCTTAGCAATGTTCCTGAGATGGAAGAAGGAAGAGCGAACAAGAGAACTGACATGAGAATCCAGGGTGAGAGCTGGGTCAAAGGTCATGCCAAGATTCCTGATAGAAGGTTTGGTGTGAGGTGTTCCTAAGTCTGTAATTAGGATTTCATCATTTTGGTATACTCACCAATCCATGTATGTGAAATGGGGTAATTGTGTATCCTCTCCTTTTAAGGTCTGTAATGGTGTTCGACAAGGACGTATTCTGTCTCCTCTTCATTTTACTGTCTATACGGACGACCTGTCGAAGCGGCTTCATGACCGCAGAACTGGATGTGTGGTTGGTGGGACAATAACAAACCACTTAATGTATGCAGCTGATTTGGTGATCTTCTGCCCATACAGTGCTGTCTTTCAGCAGTTACTGATAGTCTGCTCTCAGTATGAGTCAGAGTTTGACATAAATTTTAATGCCAACATGAGCCGTATTTTAATTGTGAGAAGTAAGGAGGACAGTAAGCTGGTTTTTCCAGATTCCTTTCTATCCGGTGCTGTTCTAAATGAATGTACTGTGATTACATATTTGGGACATCACACATCTGCGGACCTGACAGACGATGTGGACAGGTACAGACAGTGCCTTCTACTGTAAGTGCAGGTAAACACACTGGCACGCAGATATAGAATGGGTTCTGTACCTGTGAAAACCGCACTGTTTAAAGCATATTGTACCCCTATGTACACTGCCCATCGATGGAAGCGTTATAAGAAAAGTAGCATGAGGAAACTCACTGTTGCGTATAATGATGGGTTAAGGACAATGCTTAGAATGCCAAGAAGGTGCAGTGCAAGCACAATGTTTGTTAGTGTGGGTGTTCCCACAAGCCCTGCAGTGAGACTGAATCTCATGTCCAGTTGTATGTGTAGATTAAGGGACTCTAAGAACAGTATAATCCTGTCCCTGACAAACCCTACATGGAGTTCTGTCATGTTTCATTCTAACATGTTGAATTATTAGCGTCTTAAACTTTATGTGAGCCTAAAATAGCTTGCATGTCTTTTTATCTATTCATGCTTTTGTCATCAGTTTTAGACCTTCTTGTGTCTTTAATAAAGTGATTGATTGACAATAAGTTACTTCGTGACCAAGTTGGGGATATGAAGAGAAAACTTTCCTTTAGTAACAACTAGTTATCTCAGAAAACCGAGAAAGTTGGAGAACAAGAGGAGAAACTAGAAGAACAGACTCTGGAGCTCCAAGCCACATATTTTAAACTCGACGGATCTGAATATGAGTGTAGGTTCCTGCGCGATTTAAACAGCTCCCTCTCTGAAAAAAACAAAGACTTCGAAGAGAAACTCACAGATATGCTTTTACTACATTATGAGAAATAGAAATGCTAAATAAAACACCCAATTATACAAACAAGTGAAACTGAAAAAAATTTAATATGGTGCAAAAGTCCATTTATCTCAGTAATTCAACACAGAGACTATTTAAAGGGCCAGGAACCAGTTTCAGGTGTTTTCTATTTGCAGTTATTAATCTATGTTGATTTGTGACTTGTTTCATATCACAAAGTGACATTTGAAAAATTAAAAAGCATTTTTTAGAAATTAAGCTTGAGTTTACAGTAATAATATCCATGTCTAGTGTTTGATTCTCTGCCTGATTATTTTTAATTTAAAAATTTGCTTTGAGCGCACATTTACCTGAATGATTAAGATGTGATTATTTAGATTATTTAATTACAAAACCTCAAAATCATTAGATTAATTTTTTAACCAACTCCCACCCCTAGTAAAATAATGTGTATTTGTAAACACGCATGTATTTGAGTTTATATTGTAACAATGATGAAGTCATCGAATCATCAAAATTTGTATTTTGATTTATTCTGCATGCTAATCATTATTCATTTGGATATTGTTACCATGCAATCTGCTGTAATCAAAGGACATACAGCAAGTTCTAGAATGCTCTTTGTGACATCATCATCACTTTGATGCCTAAATGCATGTTGTTGTGCTCATCTCACCAGTTCTACAGATCACATCTGTAGAGACACACCGCTGTGAACACATACCCTGTTAGAGCACGTTTTTGTTTTGAACCTAATAAATCAGAACAATGAAACTGTTCCAAACAGCAAGAAGAAGGAGAGACACGGGTCTTCAAGACCAAACTGGTACTCCTGATTCTCTCAGCCGAGAGAATGCTAGCCTTCGACAAGACAATGAAGGACTCCATAAAATTGTGGAAGACCTTCGTAAAACTATAGAAACGTTTAGAAATAGGAAGTCTAAACTGATCCAAAATGAAAAAGAGGACCTTTTAGAAGAAAATCACTTTCTACGTGAAAAAATCACTTCACTGCAAGAGGAAAATCAGAAATTGGTTCTCAATTTTAATGAAAAATTCAACAACCAACTGGAACATCTGAAAAAATAACACGAAGTCATGGAAGAACAAAGTCTTAAACTCCAGAACGTTAAAGTGGACTTTGAGAAGGAGAGGGAAGACAATAAGTTACTCCGTGACCAAGTTGGGGATCTGAAGAGAAAACTTGCCTTTAGTAACAACAAGTTATCTCAGGAAACTGAGAAAGTTGGAGAACTAGAGGAGAAACTAGAAGAACAGACTCTGGAGCTCCAAGTCACACGTTTTAAACTCGACGGTTCTGAATATGAGTGTAGGTTCCTGTGCGATTTAAACAGCTCCCTCTCTGAAGAAAACAAAGACTTTGAAGAGAAACTCAAACACACTACCATAGACCTGGAGAAGAGTCGAGAGAACGTGGAAATTCAGAAAATAGCTTTGCATCAAAGCATTTTGGACTTCCATTATGCCTGTGAGAAAATTAGCAGCCTTGAATGCCAAACTGAGGAGTTTATAGAAGTTGCTAGCGCTCTGGTTGAGGATAATGAACGCTTGGAGGAGAATGTTGAGCATTTAACAGAGAAACTTACAACAAACCAGGTCCTAAATCTAGTCCTTCACGAACAAGTCCTGTATCTAAGAGCTAAACACACGGAATCTGAAAAGTTAGTCCAGGCAGAGGAGTGTTTGTCTCAGTCAGAGAACCAAGTGAAGAAAGACTTAAATCTGAAACCCAAGCGTCAGAAGAAGAAACTTTTCCAAACCTTTAAAAAGAAATGTAGCTCTCTCATTAAGAAGTCTGGATAACAAAGACACTGGATGTGGACGAGCTGCCAGAAGCACGTGGGGATGGGTGGTAACACAAAACCTGTTGGGGTCAGACATGCGGTCAGGAGGTGTTTCTATCTAGGATCTACTCCGTCCACCTTGGAGTATAAAAAAATGCAGCACACGGATTATCTCACAGGAAAAAGATCACCCGATCAATTTATTTCTGTCTCTTTGTGCTGCATGGGGGGTTTTCTCTGGGTGGTCGAGTTCACCCCCCACCCACATTTCTAAATCCCTGACACATTATACCCTGATGGATCTGCTCAGCTCTTCAGTAACCAGCTTTTAAACAGCATTTGTGCCAGAAAGCTCATTTATCTAGTTATTCTACTGACATATTTACACCACACAGTAATAAGTAGGCACATAACTTGAAAAAAGGTAATAGAATTGAACAAGCATCATACACCCTTTTGGGGGTTAGGGTTAGAGAGCTTTACAAAAGTCGAGGTAAGCTAATTATTTTACATTTATGCAACATTAATGCCTCTTCATGACCTTTTATCTTCCTGTCATCCTCCAGTCATCCAACTGGAACCAGTTAGTGTTGCGGATTATCTCTTTAGTCCCCCTGTAACACTAAGGCATTAAAAAAGTTTAAGTCCTCCATCATATTTGTGCCTGTTCTAGTCTCATTTTTAAGGATTTTTATTTCTAGATATGCTTTTACTACATTATGAGAAATAGAAATGCTAAATAAAACACCCAATTATACAAACAAGTGAAACTGAAAAAAACTGAATATGGTGCAAAAGTCCATTTATCTCAGTAATTTAACACAGAGACAATTTAAAGGGCCAGGAACCAGTTTCAGGTGTTTTCCATTTGCAATTATTAATCTATGTTGATTTTTGACTTGTTTCATATCACAAAGTGACATTTGAAAAATTAAAATGCATTTTTTACAAATGAAGCTTGAGTTTACAGTAATAATATCCATGTCTAGTGTTTGATTCTCTGCCTGATTATTTTTAATTTAAAAATTTGCTTTGAGCGCACATTTGCCTGAATGATTAAGATGTGATTAATTAGATTAATTAATTACAAAACCTCTAATTCATTAGATTAATTTTTTAATCAACTCCCACCCCTAGTAAAATAACGTGTATTTGTAAACACACATGTATTTGAGTTTATATTGTCACAATGATGAAGTCATCGAATCATCAAAATTTGTATTTTGATTTATTCTGCATGCCGGGCATTATTCATTTGGATGTTGTTACCATGCAATCTGCTGTAATGAAAGGACATACAGCAAGTTCTAGAATGCTCTTTGTGACATCATCATCATGATCACTTTGATGCCTATATGCATGTTGTTGTGCTCATCTCACCAGTTCTACAGATCACATCTGCAGATCACACCTACAGATCACACCTCTAGAGACACACCGCTGTGAACACATACCCTGTTAGAGCACGTTTTTGTTTTGAACCTAATAAATCAGAACAATGAAAACGTTCCAAACAGCAAGAAGAAGGAGAGACACGGGTCTTCAAGACCAAACTGGTACTCCTGATTCTCTCAGCCGAGAGAATGCTAGCCTTCGACAAGACAACGAAGGACTCCATAAAATTGTGGAAGGCCTTCGTAAAACTATAGAAACGTTTAGAAATAGAAAGTCTAAACGGATCCAAAAGGAAAAAGAGGACCTTTTAGTAGAAAATCACTTTCTACGTGAAAAAATCACTTCACTGCAAGAGGAAAATCAGAAATTGGTTCTCAATTTTAATGAAAAATTCAACAACCAACTGGAACATCTGAAAAAACAACACAAAGTCATGGAAGAACAAAGTCTTAAACTCCAGAACGTTAAAGTGGACTTTGAGAAGGAGAGGGAAGACAATGAGTTACTTCATGACCAAGTTGGGGATCTGAAGAGAAAACTTGCCTTTTGTAACAACAAGTTATCTCAGAAAACCGAGAAAGTTGGAGAACTAGAGGAGAAACTGGAAGAACAGACTCTGGAGCTCCAAGCCACACGTTTTAAACTCGACGGTTCTGAATATGAGTGTAGGTTCCTGCGCGATTTAAACAGCTCCCTCTCTGAAAAAAACAAAGACTTTGAAGAGAAACTCAAACACACTACCATAGACCTGGAGAAGAGTCGAGAGAACGTGGAAATTCAGAAAATAGCTTTGGATCAAAGCATTTTGGACGTCCATTATGCCTGTGAGAAAATTAGCAGCCTTGAATGCCAAACTGAGGAGTTTATAGAAGTTGCTAGCGCTCTGGTTGAGGATAATGAATGCTTGGAGGAGAATGTTGAGCATTTAACGGAGAAACTTACAACAAACCAGGTCCTAAATCAAGTCCTTCATGAACAAGTCCTGTATCTAAAAGCTAAACACACAGAATCTGATAAGTTAGTCCAGGCAGAGGAGTGTTTGTCTCGGTCAGAGAACCAAGTGAAGAAAGACTTAAATCTGAAACCCAAGCATCAGAAGAAGAAACTTTTCCAAACCTTTAAAAAGAAATGTAGCTCTCTCATTAAGAAGTCTGGATAACAAAGACACTGGATGTGGACGAGCTGCCAGAAGCACGTGGGGATGGGTGGTAACACAAAACCTGTTGGGGTCAGACATGCGGTCAGGAGGTGTTTCTATCTAGGATCTACTCCGTCCACCATGGAGTATAAAAAAATGCAGCACACGGATTATCTCAGAGGAAAAAGATCACCCGATCAATTTATTTCTGTCTTTGTGCTGCATGGGGGGTTTTCTCTGGGTGGTCGAGTTCACCCCCCACCCACATTTCTAAATCCCTGACACATTATACCCTGATGGATCTGCTCAGCTCTTCAGTAACCAGCTTTTAAACAGCATTTGTGCCAGAAAGCTCATTTATCTAGTTATTCTACTGACATATTTACACCACACAGTAATAAGTAGGCACATAACTTGAAAAAAGGTCATAGAATTGAACAAGCATCATACACCCTTTTGGGGGTTAGGGTTAGAGAGCTTTACAAAAGTCGAGGTAAGCTAATTCTTTTACATTTATGCAACAGTAATGCCTCTTCAAGACCTTTTATCTTCCTGTCATCCTCCAGTCATCCAACTGGAACCAGTTAGTGTTGCTGATCATCTCTTTAGTCCCGTCCCCCTTTAACACTCAGGCGTTAAAAAAGTTTAAGTCCTCCATCATATTTGTGCCTGTTCTAGTCTCATTTTTAAGGATTTTTATTTCTAGATATGCTTTTACTACATTATGAGAAATAGAAATGCTAAATAAAACACCCAATTATACAAACAAGTGAAACTGAAAAAAATTGAATATGGTGCAAAAGTCCATTTATCTCAGTAATTCAACACAGAGACAATTTAAAGGGCCAGGAACCAGTTTCAGGTGTTTTCTATTTGCACTTATTAATCTATGTTGATTTGTGACTTGTTTCATATCACAAAGTGACATTTGAAAAATTAAAATGCATTTTTTACAAATGAAGCTTGAGTTTACAGTATTAATATCCATGTCTAGTGTTTGATTCTCTGCCTGATTATTTTTAATTTAAAAATTTGCTTTGAGCGCACATTTGCCTGAATGATTAAGATGTGATTAATTAGATTAATTAATTACAAAACCTCTAATTCATTAGATTAATTTTTTAATCAACTCCCACCCCTAGTAAAATAATGTGTATTTGTAAACACGCATGTATTTGAGTTTATATTGTCACAATGATGAAGTCATCGAATCATCAAAATTTGTAATTTGATTTATTCTGCATGATGAGCATTATTCATTTGGATGTTGTTACCATGCAATCTGCTGTAATCAAAGGACATACAGCAAGCTCTAGAATGCTCTTTGTGACATCATCATCATAATCACTTTGATGCCTAAATGCATGTTGTTGTGCTCATCTCACCAGTTCTACAGATCACATCTGTAGAGACGCACCGCTGTGAACACATACCCTGTTAGAGCACGTTTTTGTTTTGAACCTAATAAATCAGAACAATGAAACTGTTCCAAACAGCAAGAAGAAGGAGAGACACGGGTCTTCAAGACCAAACTGGTACTCCTGATTCTCTCAGCCGAGAGAATGCTAGCCTTCGACAAGACAATGAAGGACTCCATAAAATTGTGGAAGGCCTTCGTAAAACTATAGAAACGTTTAGAAATAGAAAGTCTAAACGGATCCAAAAGGAAAAAGAGGACCTTTTAGTAGAAAATCACTTTCTACGTGAAAAAAATCACTTCACTGCAAGAGGAAAATCAGAAATTGGTTCTCAATTTTAATGAAAAATTCAACAACCAACTGGAACATCTGAAAAAACAACACAAAGTCATGGAAGAACAAAGTCTTAAACTCCAGAACGTTAAAGTGGACTTTGAGAAGGAGAGGGAAGACAATGAGTTACTTCATGACCAAGTTGGGGATCTGAAGAGAAAACTTGCCTTTTGTAACAACAAGTTATCTCAGAAAACCGAGAAAGTTGGAGAACTAGAGGAGAAACTAGAAGAACAGACTCTGGAGCTCCAAGCCACACGTTTTAAACTCGACGGTTCTGAATATGAGTGTAGGTTCCTGCGCGATTTAAACAGCTCCCTCTCTGAAAAAAACAAAGACTTTGAAGAGAAACTCAAACACACTACCATAGACCTGGAGAAGAGTCGAGAGAACGTGGAAATTCAGAAAATAGCTTTGGATCAAAACATTTTGGACTTCCATTATGCCTGTGAGAAAATTAGCAGCCTTGAATGCCAAACTGAGGAGTTTATAGAAGTTGCTAGCGCTCTGGTTGAGGATAATGAACGCTTGGAGGAGAATGTTGAGCATTTAACGGAGAAATATACAACAAACCAGGTCCTAAATCAAGTCCTTCACGAACAAGTCCTGTATCTAAAAGCTAAACACACAGAATCTGAAAAGTTAGTCCAGGCAGAGGAGTGTAAGTCTCAGTCAGAGAACCAAGTGAAGAAAGACTTAAATCTGAAACCCAAGCATCAGAAGAAGAAACTTTTCCAAACCTTTAAAAAGAAATGTAGCTCTCTCATTAAGAAGTCTGGATAACAAAGACACTGGATGTGGACGAGCTGCCAGAAGCACGTGGGGATGGGTGGTAACACAAAACCTGTTGGGGTCAGACATGCGGTCAGGAGGTGTTTCTATCTAGGATCTACTCCGTCCACCTTGGAGTATAAAAAAATGCAGCACACGGATTATCTCACAGGAAAAAGATCACCCGATCAATTTATTTCTGTCTTTGTGCTGCATGGGGCTTTTCTCTGGGTGGTCGAGTTCACCCCCCACCCACATTTCTAAATCCCTGACACATTATACCCTGATGGATCTGCTCAGCTCTTCAGTAACCAGCTTTTAAACAGCATTTGTGCCAGAAAGCTCATTTATCTAGTTATTCTACTGACATATTTACACCACACAGTAATAAGTAGGCACATAACTTGAAAAAAGGTAGTAGAATTGAACAAGCATCATACACCCTTTTGGGGGTTAGGGTTAGAGAGCTTTACAAAAGTCGAGGTAAGCTAATTCTTTTACATTTATGCAACAGTAATGCCTCTTCAAGACCTTTTATCTTCCTGTCATCTTCCAGTCATCCAACTGGAACCAGTTAGTGTTGCTGATCATCTCTTTAGTCCCCCTGTAACACTCAGGCGTTAAAAAAGTTTAAGTCCTCCATCATATTTGTGCCTGTTCTAGTCTCATTTTTAAGGATTTTTATTTCTAGATATGCTTTTACTACATTATGAGAAATAGAAATGCTAAATAAAACACCCAATTATACAAACAAGTGAAACTGAAAAAAATTGAATATGGTGCAAAAGTCCATTTATCTCAGTAATTCAACACAGAGACAATTTAAAGGGCCAGGAACCAGTTTCAGGTGTTTTCTATTTGCAATTATTAATCTATGTTGATTTGTGACTTGTTTCATATCACAAAGTGACATTTGAAAAATTAAAATGCATTTTTTACAAATGAAGCTTGAGTTTACAGTATTAATATCCATGTCTAGTGTTTGATTCTCTGCCTGATTATTTTTAATTTAAAAATTTGCTTTGAGCGCACATTTGCCTGAATGATTAAGATGTGATTAATTAGATTAATTAATTACAAAACCTCTAATTCATTAGATTAATTTTTTAATCAACTCCCACCCCTAGTAAAATAATGTGTATTTGTAAACACGCATGTATTTGAGTTTATATTGTCACAATGATGAAGTCATCGAATCATCAAAATTTGTATTTTGATTTATTCTGCATGATGAGCATTATTCATTTGGATGTTGTTACCATGCAATCTGCTGTAATCAAAGGACATACAGCAAGTTCTAGAATGCTCTTTGTGACATCATCATCATAATCACTTTGATGCCTAAATGCATGTTGTTGTGCTCATCTCACCAGTTCTACAGATCACATCTGTAGAGACGCACCGCTGTGAACACACACCCTGTTAGAGCACGTTTTTGTTTTGAACCTAATAAATCAGAACAATGAAACTGTTCCAAACAGCAAGAAGAAGGAGAGACACGGGTCTTCAAGACCAAACTGGTCTTCCTGATTCTCTCAGCCGAGAGAATGCTAGCCTTCGACAAGACAATGAAGGACTCCATAAAATTGTGGAAGACCTTCGTAAAACTATAGAAACGTTTAGAAATAGGAAGTCTAAACGGATCCAAAAGGAAAAAGAGGACCTTTTAGAAGAAAATCACTTTCTACGTGAAAAAATCACTTCACTGCAAGAGGAAAATCAAAAATTGGTTCTCAATTTCAATGAAAAATTCAACAACCAACTGGAACATCTGAAAAAACAACACAAAGTCATGGAAGAACAAAGTCTTAAACTCCAGAACGTTAAAGTGGACTTTGAGAAGGAGAGGGAAGACAATGAGTTACTTCATGACCAAGTTGGGGATCTGAAGAGAAAACTTGCCTTTTGTAACAACAAGTTATCTCAGAAAACCGAGAAAGTTGGAGAACTAGAGGAGAAACTAGAAGAACAGACTCTGGAGCTCCAAGCCACACGTTTTAAACTCGACGGTTCTGAATATGAGTGTAGGTTCCTGCGCGATTTAAACAGCTCCCTCTCTGAAAAAAACAAAGACTTTGAAGAGAAACTCAAACACACTACCATAGACCTGGAGAAGAGTCGAGAGAACGTGGAAATTCAGAAAATAGCTTTGGATCAAAGCATTTTGGACTTCCATTATGCCTGTGAGAAAATTAGCAGCCTTGAATGCCAAACTGAGGAGTTTATAGAAGTTGCTAGCGCTCTGGTTGAGGATAATGAACGCTTGGAGGAGAATGTTCAGCATTTAACGGAGAAACTTACAACAAACCAGGTCCTAAATCAAGTCCTTCACGAACAAGTCCTGTATCTAAAAGCTAAACACACAGAATCTGAAAAGTTAGTCCAGGCAGAGGAGTGTTTGTCTCAGTCAGAGAACCAAGTGAAGAAAGACTTAAATCTGAAACCCAAGCATCAGAAGAAGAAACTTTTCCAAACCTTTAAAAAGAAATGTAGCTCTCTCATTAAGAAGTCTGGATAACAAAGACACTGGATGTGGACGAGCTGCCAGAAGCACGTGGGGATGGGTGGTAACACAAAACCTGTTGGAGTCAGACATGCGGTCAGGAGGTGTTTCTATCTAGGATCTACTCCGTCCACCTTGGAGTATAAAAAAATGCAGCACACGGATTATCTCACAGGAAAAAGATCACCCGATCAATTTATTTCTGTCTTTGTGCTGCATGGGGGTTTTCTTTGGGTGGTCGAGTTCACCCCCCACCCACATTTCTAAATCCCTGACACATTATACCCTGATGGATCTGCTCAGCTCTTCAGTAACCAGCTTTTAAACAGCATTTGTGCCAGAAAGCTCATTTATCTAGTTATTCTACTGACATAATTACACCACACATTAATAAGTAGGCACATAACTTGAAAAAAGGTAATAGAATTGAACAAGCATCATACACCCTTTTGGGGGTTAGGGTTAGAGAGCTTTACAAAAGTCGAGGTAAGCTAATTCTTTTACATTTATGCAACAGTAATGCCTCTTCAAGACCTTTTATCTTCCTGTCATCCTCCAGTCATCCAACTGGAACCAGTTAGTGTTGCTGATCATCTCTTTAGTCCCCCTGTAACACTCAGGCGTTAAAAAAGTTTAAGTCCTCCATCATATTTGTGCCTGTTCTAGTCTCATTTTTAAGGATTTTTATTTCTAGATATGCTTTTACTACATTATGAGAAATAGAAATGCTAAATAAAACACCCAATTATACAAACAAGTGAAACTGTAAAAAATTGAATATGGTGCAAAAGTCCATTTATCTCAGTAATTCAACACAGAGACAATTTAAAGGGCCAGGAACCAGTTTCAGGTGTTTTCTATTTGCACTTATTAATCTATGTTGATTTGTGACTTGTTTCATATCACAAAGTGACATTTGAAAAATTAAAATGCATTTTTTACAAATGAAGCTTGAGTTTACAGTATTAATATCCATGTCTAGTGTTTGATTCTCTGCCTGATTATTTTTAATTTAAAAATTTGCTTTGAGCGCACATTTGCCTGAATGATTAAGATGTGATTAATTAGATTAATTAATTACAAAACCTCTAATTAATTAGATTATTTTTTTTAATCAACTCCCACCCCTAGTAAAATAATGTGTATTTGTAAACATGCATGTATTTGAGTTTATATTGTCACAATGATGAAGTCATCGAATCATCAAAATTTGTATTTTGATTTATTCTGCATGATGAGCATTATTCATTTGGATGTTGTTACCATGCAATCTGCTGTAATCAAAGGACATACAGCAAGTTCTAGAATGCTCTTTGTGACATCATCATCATAATCACTTTGATGCCTAAATGCATGTTGTTGTGCTCATCTCACCAGTTCTACAGATCACATCTGTAGAGACGCACCGCTGTGAACACATACCCTGTTAGAGCACGTTTTTGTTTTGAACCTAATAAATCAGAACAATGAAACTGTTCCAAACAGCAAGAAGAAGGAGAGACACGGGTCTTCAAGACCAAACTGGTACTCCTGATTCTCTCAGCCGAGAGAATGCTAGCCTTCGACAAGACAATGAAGGACTCCATAAAATTGTGGAAGGCCTTCGTAAAACTATAGAAACGTTTAGAAATAGGAAGTCTAAACGGATCCAAAAGAAAAAGAGGACCTTTTAGTAGAAAATCACTTTCTACGTGAAAAAATCACTTCACTGCACGAGGAAAATCAGAAATTGGTTCTCAATTTTAATGAAAAATTCAACAACCAACTGAAACATCTGAAAAAACAACACAAAGTCATGGAAGAACAAAGTCTTAAACTCCAGAACGTTAAAGTGGACTTTGAGAAGGAGAGGGAAGACAATGAGTTACTTCATGACCAAGTTGGGGATCTGAAGAGAAAACTTGCCTTTTGTAACAACAAGTTATCTCAGAAAACCGAGAAAGTTGGAGAACTAGAGGAGAAACTAGAAGAACAGACTCTGGAGCTCCAAGCCACACGTTTTAAACTTGACGGTTCTGAATATGAGTGTAGGTTCCTGTGCGATTTAAACAGCTCCCTCTCTGAAAAAAACAAAGACTTTGAAGAGAAACTCAAACACACTACCATAGACCTGGAGAAGAGTTGAGAGAACGTGGAAATTCAGAAAATAGCTTTGGATCAAAGCATTTTGGACTTCCATTATGCCTGTGAGAAAATTAGCAGCCTTGAATGCCAAACTGAGGAGTTTATAGAAGTTGCTAGCGCTCTGGTTGAGGATAATGAACACTAGGAGGAGAATGTTGAGCATTTAACAGAGAAACTTACAACAAACCAGGTCCTAAATCAAGTCCTTCACGAACAAGTCCTGTATCTAAAAGCTAAACACACAGAATCTGAAAAGTTAGTCCAGGCAGAGGAGTGTAAGTCTAGAGTCAGAGAACCAAGTGAAGAAAGACTTAAATCTGAAACCCAAGCGTCAGAAGAAGAAACTTTTCCAAACCTTTAAAAAGAAATGTAGCTCTCTCATTAAGAAGTCTGGATAACAAAGACACTGGATGTGGATGAGCTGCCAGAAGCACGTGGGGATGGCTGGTAACACAAAACCTGTTGGGGTCAGACATGCAGTCAGGAGGTGTTTCTATCTAGGATCTACTCCGTCCACCTTGGAGTATAAAAAAATGCAGCACACGGATTATCTCACAGGAAAAAGATCACCCGATCAATTTATTTCTGTCTTTGTGCTGCATGGGGGTTTTCTCTGGGTGGTCGAGTTCACCCCCCACCCACATTTCTAAATCCCTGACACATTATACCCTGATGGATCTGCTCAGCTCTTCAGTAACCAGCTTTTAAACAGCATTTGTGCCAGAAAGCTCATTTATCTAGTTATTCTACTGACATATTTACACCACACAGTAATAAGTAGGCACATAACTTGAAAAAAGCATCATACACCCTTTTGGGGGTTAGGGTTAGAGAGCTTTACAAAAGTCGAGGTAAGCTAATTCTTTTACATTTATGCAACAGTAATGCCTCTTCAAGACCTTTTATCTTCCTTTCATCCTCCAGTCATCCAACTGGAACCAGTTAGTGTTGCTGATCATCTCTTTAGTCCCCCGTAACACTCAGGCGTTAAAAAAGTTTAAGTCCTCCATCATATTTGTGCCTGTTCTAGTCTCATTTTTAAGGATTTTTATTTCTAGATATGCTTTTACTACATTATGAGAAATAGAAATGCTAAATAAAACACCCAATTATACAAACAAGTGAAACTGGAAAAAATTGAATATGATGCAAAAGTCCATTTATCTCAGTAATTCAACACAGAGACAATTTAAAGGGCCAGGAACCAGTTTCAGGTGTTTTCTATTTGCACTTATTAATCTATGTTGATTTGTGACTTGTTTCATATCACAAAGTGACATTTGAAAAATTAAAATGCATTTTTTACAAATGAAGCTTGAGTTTACAGTATTAATATCCATGTCTAGTGTTTGATTCTCTGCCTGATTATTTTTAATTTAAAAATTTGCTTTGAGCGCACATTTGCCTGAATGATTAAGATGTGATTAATTAGATTAAGTAATTACAAAACCTCTAATTAATTAGATTATTTTTTTAATCAACTCCCACCCCTAGTAAAATAATGTGTATTTGTAAACACACATGTATTTGAGTTTATATTGTCACAATGATGAAGTCATCGAATCATCAAAATTTGTATTTTGATTTATTCTGCATGATGAGCATTATTCATTTGGATGTTGTTACCATGCAATCTGCTGTAATCAAAGGACATACAGCAAGTTCTAGAATGCTCTTTGTGAGATCATCATCATCATCATCACTTTGATGCCTAAATGCATGTTGTTGTGCTCATCTCACCACTTTTACAGATCACATCTGTAGAGACGCACCGCTGTGAACACATACCCTGTTAGAGCACGTTTTTGTTTTGAACCTAATAAATCAGAACAATGAAACTGTTCCAAACAGCAAGAAGAAGGAGAGACACGGGTCTTCAAGACCAAACTGGTCCTCCTGATTCTCTCAGCCGAGAGAATGCTAGCCTTCGACAAGACAATGAAGGACTCCATAAAATTGTGGAAGACCTTCGTAAAACTATAGAAACGTTTAGAAATAGGAAGTCTAAACGGATCCAAAAGGAAAAAGAGGACCTTTTAGAAGAAAATCACTTTCTACGTGAAAAAATCACTTCACTGCACGAGGAAAATCAGAAATTGGTTCTCAATTTTAATGAAAAATTCAACAACCAACTGGAACATCTGAAAAAACAACACAAAGTCATGGAAGAACAAAGTCTTAAACTCCAGAACGTTAAAGTGGACTTTGAGAAGGAGAGGGAAGACAATGAGTTACTTCATGACCAAGTTGGGGATCTGAAGAGAAAACTTGCCTTTTGTAACAACAAGTTATCTCAGAAAACCGAGAAAGTTGGAGAACTAGAGGAGAAACTAGAAGAACAGACTCTGGAGCTCCAAGCCACACGTTTTAAACTTGACGGTTCTGAATATGAGTGTAGGTACCTGCGCGATTTAAACAGCTCCCTCTCTGAAAAAAACAAAGACTTTGAAGAGAAACTCAAACACACTACCATAGACCTGAAGAAGAGTTGAGAGAACGTGGACATTCAGAAAATAGCTTTGGATCAAAGCATTTTGGACTTCCATTATGCCTGTGAGAAAATTAGCAGCCTTGAATGCCAAACTGAGGAGTTTATAGAAGTTGCTAGCGCTCTGGTTGAGGATAATGAACGCTTGGAGGAGAATGTTGAGCATTTAACGGAGAAACTTACAACAAACCAGGTCCTAAATCAAGTCCTTCACGAACAAGTCCTGTATCTAAAAGCTAAACACACAGAATCTGAAAAGTTAGTCCAGGCAGAGGAGTGTAAGTCTCAGTCAGAGAACCAAGTGAAGAAAGACTTAAATCTGAAACCCAAGCGTCAGAAGAAGAAACTTTTCCAAACCTTTAAAAAGAAATGTAGCTCTCTCATTAAGAAGTCTGGATAACAA